TATATTTTTAAAAAATAAAAATAAATAAATAAATAAAAGTCCTCTTTGATAAGTTTTCTCACAAGAAAATAGCTATGTCCTCCAACTTGAAGATGTGGAAGCATTTCCAGAACTGAAAGGATCTGGGACCTACCTGCTCCTTCATCTTATAGATGAGAAAACCATGTCAAAAATGCAGTATAAAATTGCAAGGACGTGGCAGAGTTTAAATTTGACACATGTCTTCTGACATTGATTCATGACCGCCTCAGGATGATAAAGAAACCTACAGAGATTACCAAGAACATAAAGGGCCTATAGTGGGCCCTGCTCCCCCAGAGCTGCTCCAATTTATTTTATATATTGAGGTTTCTCATGATACTTCATTTGGCAAATAATAATAACAAAGTCATACTACCACTAAAAAGGCATTTGAGCCCAGCCCGTGGGGTTCATTGCTTGAGTGTCAACCCAGGAACCAAGAAGTCACTGGTTCGATTCCTGGTCAGGGCTAATATCTGGGTTGCGGGCTCGATCCCCAATAGGGGGTGTGCAGGAGGCGGCTGATCAATGATTCTCTCTCATCATTGATGTTTCTATCTCTCCCTCTCGCTTCCTCTCTGAAATTAATAAAAATATATTTTAAAAAATTGAAACCCAATGCCTTAAACCACCATGAACTATAATCCATCCTTTTTCTTATGCACTTTTATGAATTTGCAATCTTAAAATTTATGTGTAGTTGTATTTATAATGTTTTCACCATCAAAATTTGTTTTATTTTCTCTGTCCCAAAGACAGTGACCTCTATTTGTTCTTCAATACACAAAGTACAAAGAAATCAGGAAGACAGTTTTTAGCAGATTTTATCTAAGAGCAAAGAAAGAACCCTTTATGAGGGAAATCTAATTCTCTTAGGACCCAGAAACATACATTTTCCATCAATGATGGACATGCATTTTGTTCATTGTTCATTTTCCTTGTTCTTTGAAAGATGTGCATATCAAATTTAAACTTGTCATCCTTATAGTATTACTGGGACTGAATTCTAGAAAAATTATCTAAATTTATTTCTTTCTTTTGTTCCCCAAATTGCCCATTTCCCCCTTCCAAATAGAACTACTCTATACCTCGATGAGGCTAAACACCCAAGAAAATAACACTCCATGGCTTCCAGCATCTGGTCTCCAACTGAGACAATGTAGAGGTGCCTTGTCCATCATGGTGGCCATCAGTCACATGGGGCTATGAAGCACTTTTATTGAAGCATGGTAATAATCCCTCCTTAGGAAAAACTGCTGTTTGAACTACTCTGTTATTCTTAGACAGTCTCTTATTCAATGGGTCAACTCTGTTATTTTTAGACTGTAAAATAACTTTGCTTTTTTGCTTGAATAGAAAAGATAAACTTAATTGTCTGACCTTACAAGCTAGCCATCTAAAGGAGCTGATACACTATATTAATTCACATATTCTGCCAAGTGTTTGTTCACCCAAGGTTATAGGTGTTTGATTAGATATAATATGTACTCAAAGTTACAAGTTGTCTGTATAGATATTACAGCTGTTTGATTAGATATAATATCTATTCAAGGTTACAAGCTTTCTTACACGAAGAACTAGAAGGATATAAGAAGGAAATACTCCCTCCCGTGTTTGTTCAGAATTTGACAGAGGTAATCTGCTCTGAACCTGCGTGCAATAAAGATAACTCCTAACTAATGGCTGATTTAGGTGTCTTGTCCAGCTCGCTGATTTGCGATACAATCATGTAGTTAGTAAGATTGGGGAACTACACTTTTAATTATATTTGATAATAGTTAATTTAAATATAAACCTAAAACTGAATCAATGTTAAAGTATTTCTCCAGTAAACATAACTTTATTGTTTTGGTAGGACTACATTTCACTCCAGCTGCTGTAAGTTCAGCATCCAAATTGAGATGTATTGCAAGTGCAAAATGTACACTGAGTTTTGAAGACTTTATAGAAAGAAAAGAATATAAAATAGCTCATATTAATAGTTTGTATAAAATATGGGTTGAAATAATGGTAAAGATAGATTTATATAAAGAGCTATATAAAGTAGATTAAAAAATTGTTCCTGTTTCTTTGTACTTTTTCAATTCCCATTTAAACTTCCATGTGTGGCTCCCATTATCATTCTCTGGCTGGCATTAGTTGGGAGGAGAGAAAACAAGCACTGTAAGCTGGCAGCCAGAGTGATCTGAGTGCTCCTATGGACATAATTTCTCCAGGCTATCTCTTCAGGAAGAGCACCCCCCCCTTCCTGCTTCTGGCCATCTGCTTGGAATTCAGAAATAGTTCATCCCTCTCTGCTAGGACAGCCCAGGGTTAAAATACTTTGAATATCTGACTACAGATCTTTTCCAGGTTAGAGATGTCATTGGACAAAGGCAAGAACAAGAACTAAAATGATTATCAGTATGTTACTCTAGTGTGCCTATTAATAGCTAAATCACTTAATTTAAATCATTTCAGCTGCATGTTTATTCATTAAAAGATAGGGCATCCCACCCTACTTGTTCTTGCCATCACCATCATGATAAACATCTCCTTACTACAGACTTTGAACCCTTTCTATAGACTTGCCATCAAAATATGATTTTGGTTAGAAGAGGAGAAATGCAGGATATGTCATGAGAAGTAGTAGGGAGTGGTCTCCCAAACCATTCATAGAAAGATAGAATGTTGTGAAAAAATGTTCAGATCACTGGCCTGCCTTCCCTTAATCCTTTCTCCTTGATCCCCCATATCTAGGAGTGGTTTTCCTTGTATTAACTGAAGCAAAATATCAATGGACTCCAATTGTCCTATCTTATATAAAGTGGTACCAGAACTGATAGCAGCACCATAGAAACTTTAGCAACCCCTCTTACATTTGTTGGTGAGTTTTTAACAATAAAACCATTATATATATATGTATTCCACACACCATCACCCCATACCCTACTTTTTAATCTATCACTGAAAATTTATCTATTCTGCTCCTGCAATTACCATGTTTCTCTTTTATTAGTGTAGATGTATTCCACACACCATCACCCCATACCCTTGGACCAACTTAGGGCCAACCTGGAGTATTTTCTTCAACTCCCTCTTTGAAAACAGGTAAATTAGATAACCCAAGAAGTTTCCATCACTTCTCTTGGAGACCTTACCCTGAACCCAGGCCCATTGTGATTCCTGGATAGTGGATAAAATGCTCCAAGCTGCATCCATCTTCTGCAGAGCTCCTCTGTGGTATTATTTTTATAACCACAGATATTGGCACCGACCTGGAAAATAGGCAAACATACAGCACAATGGTCAGTGGGAGAGGAGAAAGCATTGACTGTATACCTATGTGATAAAGGAAATGAGAATCTCTTATTCCCATCATTCCATGCTTAAAGAGGTCCCAAGGTTTTAGGGCAAGCCCCCAGCCAAATGGGAGAATAAAGAAAGTGTGCAATCATGGATTGAATGATGAGAGGAAGACTGACTGTTGTATGTTTTATTAAGGGCTCACCCTCAATATTCAGTTCCCAATTTCATGCTTTGCTATCATTGATGCTCTTTTGATGGAATTTTTCTGTGATACTGATACATTTTACTCATGGAGTCTCCTTTCTAACTTCAGAGAATCCATGGATGACAATGGTAGAGTGTTACCATTCTATCATCAGAAGGCAGCTCACACAAAAATTGATTTTTCCAATACATATCAAAGTGAGTTGTATGCTCACTGGTTTTCAGACACTTCAAAGACTGGTAATGGAAAGAATGTCAAAGCTCCTTGGTTGAGAGTGAAACTCACCATGGGGATGCCAAATAGGTTGAACTCAAGGATACTAGGGATGGACCATCGAAGATCATCCCATGCAGCTGCATTGTCCCCTAACCAATGAGCTGCAAACTTGCCAGACCCAGCAAAAGTAGAACGAGACAAGATGAAGTTCCTCTTATTGGGGAAGACAGTATTCAAGGCCCTGAAAAGGAATACAGTCAAATGAATGTGAAATGAACTGTGAATGTCAAGGACTTAACCTATACCAAAGGTCCAAGCAAACTGAGAAAAAAACATCAGGGTGTCATGAAGGAGAACAAACTGGATTAGCATTTTTAAGAGCTTCTTTCTCATTTCTAGGTAAGGATGCAGATCTCATGTAAGACAATAAAAACCTTTACAGTCAGTACCCTCAAGGAATTTCTCTAGGCACCTGGCCTTCTGATTATGTTTCCTCCATCTTCGATCTGCTTGTGTTCTGGCCCCTTTGGTCGATGATACATTGGAATGAGGGGCTATTGGCCCTATCTTCTCCCTCTAGAGAAAGTTTTTCTAATGTACCTGGGTCCCATGCCTTGCTGCCATTCATAATCTTGTTTAGTACAATACCAGCTCAGGTCAGAACCCTTTACCTGCTCTTTGCCTAAGAGGAGATTTTGCACACAGTCTGGGCTCCAGGAACCTGATTCCTCTGAAGCTTCGGAACTTATTATTAGCAATTCCCAATGTTAGGGTATCTTAATCTGTGCAAACTAGTATTACTTGAAGTGAATAAGTCTCAAAAGATGGCATATGGCACTCTTAATGAAGTTAAAAGTAACTAAAATATAAATATTTTCATTGTATTACTTATAACATATTACATATCAAGTAAAAACTATATAAAAAGTAAAACAAAGGAATTAAAGACAAGAAATTCAGACCAGATGTGGGCAGGTGGGATGGGATAACATGAAGTAAGATGTAGGCTGTTTTCCTAGCTTTTATTCAGAACACTATTTTGCTTAGGCCTCTCCCTGCTCTCTTCTCTCCTAAACAGTTCACACTTACCTTTAGTGTTTTAAAATTGAACAATAATGCAACTATTGGATGGTGATACCTGAGCCACAGTTGCTTCTAGTTCTTTGCAGGCAAGCTCTACTATTTTTCCTTCCAACACATGGTCTGAGACCAGTGTACCATCAGGCACTGGGCAATTCCTCATAGGCACTATCACAGCCACCAATGCTTTTCCTCTTTGCACTTTTAAGAATGTTATGGGGAGTGTACACATGCAGAACAATTTATAATGGAAAAAGGAAGAAAATTCTGAAATAGAAGACTGGTTTAAGAAAATTAAATTCTGACAATTAAATGACCAAAAAATGGGGGTAGAATGGAAAGGACTCATTCTTCAACTCCTGTCCTCATTTCTCCTTTTATAAGGACTGGCAATACTTTGTGTTTATTACCACTGGTGAGGGTTTACTGCATCCTGCAATCCTCAGTCATTAAAGAAACACATTCAAGTTATGTAAAGTGAAATTGAAACAGGAAATGAAGTTAAGTGAATTTAGGGTTTATTTAGAGTCATCCCATTATAGCACCACTGATTAGATAACATGGTGGGTTTTTTTCCAACTTAAGAGGAAATATTTACCCAGAGATCCCTAAGTCTCTATTTTGCATCTCTCAGTTTGGGCCTACTTATGGTCAGGTCTTGATATCTGAGAGGATCTGGTTTCTTCCTACTTTCAAGCCAGAGGAAAGTGAACTTAATTCTCTTTGTAGACCAGTAACTACTGTCCCCAAACTATACTTCCAGCAAAAGTTGAGCTAAATGTTCATCAGATCTGTGATTTAAATTCTCCTGATGCCCAGATCCAACTGAATGAAAATCTTATCTGATTTTTAACCAACTCTGTGTGATGCCTGAAGGCTGTTTCACTTATCTCCATTGTTCTCTGGGAACTTTGACCTTTTAACTATTAACCATTATTGACATAGCTTCAGAACATATTAACCAATCCCAATGTGATTTTATAGTACTTTTATCACATGAAGATTTGAACATTGAAGCAATTTGAAACTCTCTTTCCTTCCTCCTACCTTCCCTTACTCTTTCTTTCTCACCCTGTCCATTTATCCACTCTCCTCCCACCTTCAATCTTAGAAGCATCCATGAGTCAAAATAGATCAGAACAAGAACACCAACCCAAGATTTTCATTTTAAAGATGAGGGAACTGTCTTATTCATCTAGTTTACTTCCCAGAAAGGTTGAGTGAGAGAAACAAGTCAGAAAAGGGAAGATAATGAAATCAGAAATGTGTGTCCCTCTTTTTGAAGCTTTTCATTTATTGAAATAAATCTTTTGCATTTAGTGGATAAGGACTCTCTCTCATTGAACAATCCAGAATAATATTAAGTCATGAGGATAAAATGGTGTTGGAAAACAAAATAGGCCCGGTCTGTGCCTCTAATTCATCAGGTTCCATTTTTCTTCTCTTTCTCAGGCCAGGCATTTATTCAACAACCATGCCTTTAGTATACACATGATTCCACAGGCTAAGAAAATATGGGGTGACTAGTCTCTCAAGAAATTGATAGTCCAGCAAGAAAAAAAGTAAATACCTAAAAACTATAATACAAGTGCTTGGATATTAGGCATAGTACAATATGAACAAAGGTAACACAAAATATGGGGTGGGTGTGGGGGTAATCTTTTCCTAGGACTGTCAGGAAGGTTTAATATCTGAGGGGAGGTTTTAAAGATAAGTGCATACTTGAAAAATTGACTGGGCAGGGAAGGGCATCCTGTGCAGGGAGAGCAACACATGCAAAGACATGGAAGAATGAAATAGCATTTGGATTAGGGAGCAAGAGCAGTTATGTTTTACCAGAGTGTAAGATATAAGAGTAGCAGGATGAAAGGAAAATACTAAGAAATCATTAAGTTATGAAGTACTTTACAGGTTTGGCTGGGGTGACTGGATTTTATTGTATAGAAGATACCAAGCCAAAGATAATTTTTTACTGGGGAAAGAAGTGAGCAGATTTTCACTGGGGAAAGAAATGAGCAGACGTGTGATTCAGAAGGTAACTTCAAAAGTAGTAGAGAGTAGATCTTTTGAAACTTTAACATACATTCAATACCCCTGGGAATCTTGTTAAAACTCATACTCTCATTTCCAAGGTCTAGGGTGAGGGCCAAGGAGCTACATTTCTAATATGTTTCCAGATGATGCTAATATTGCTAGTCCTTGGACCACACTTTGAATAGCAAGAGTAGGGATAGATGAGTAGGAGGTAAAGCTACAGTCAGGGAGGGGAGACTAGTAGTTATGGGACTCATGTAAGTTTTACTTGAGCAATGATGATGGCCTTCGTTAAAAAGTGTCAGTAGAGGAAAAAAGGAGATGATTATACACATGTTTTAGGGTCAAAAGGTCTGAAGCCTGATTGTAGAAGTGGATGTGATGAAAAGAAATAACTCAAGGATAATACCAAGTTTCTCACTTCAGAGTCTGGGAGATAGTGATGGTGTTGCTACCAACCAAGATAGGGAATTGAGCAGTTTCAAAAATGATTAGACTGTGGGGACCAGGCAGAAATAGGTAATGATAAGGTGAATGGCATTGGAGGTACTATAAGACATCCAAGTAGAGAAGATCAGAAGGTAATTTTGGATATCTGGGCCTGAAAATCAGGGAGAGATCTAAGCTATAGATTTATAGAATTATAGATTTTTAAATTACCAGAATGAATTACAGTAAAAACTGAGAAGAAATAAATTATTTTTGTATTAGCAAAGAATGAAAAATGAAGTCTAGGGATTGACCCCTAAGATTTATCAATCATGAGAGAATACATGAAAAAGATCCAGAGGTCAAAAAGGAACAGAGGTTAAGAAGGGACAGCTGGAAAAAGAGCAGATATGCCCAGATAGAGTGGTGTCTCAGAACTAAAGGAACCAAGCTTCAAAGGAGTTGTCAGTGATGTTATGTACCCTAGAGAAGTCAAGTAAAAGGACTGAGAAAACAGCAAAGTCTCCCTGCCCCTATTCCCCACTATGGTATTCCAGAAATACCAAAGCAAAAGGATATAAGTAGAGAAAAACTAAGACATTCTTTCCTAAGCCACTTGAAGGTCCCCAACAAATATTCAAAGACTTTAGTTTCCCTGTCTGTTTTATAAATTTAAATTAAAATCTTCTTAATCTTAGTCCCTAATTTCTTGCTCTCTTAGGTATAATGATTGTAAATTATCACTTTGGTGGGGAGGGGGGCAGATTTTGCAGAGAGCTTTTCCTCAATTTACAAAGTCAGCAGCAAAATATTAATGTGACAAAGTATGTAGAGGACTGAATCTTTTGCAGGAAGCATCTGTCTCTTTGTTAGACTTTCATATTGAGTGGTGGTGGTGATAGAGATGGTGGTGGTGGTGGTAATGGTAGTAATCATGGTGGTAGTGGTACTGTGTATGTCTTGGGGCAGAGGGGAGAGTTGAGAGGGTGACTGGGGCAGGCAGTAGGGAGGAAAGCTAGGAGGGGTTGCTATAACATTGCCATGTAAATACAGGATACTCAATACACTTGAATTTCATATAAACAATTAATAATTTTTAGTATACAGTACATATGTCCATTGCAAACTTGACTGGGTATCCTGTATTGTTATTTGCTAAATCAGGCAATTCTTGTGTGGTGACCATAGCACATTCAGTATTGGAACCCAAGCAAGGGCTGACTTCCAATTGGAGGTTCTAAATACCTTGCACATTATTGCCTACTAATATCAAGTCCTTAGTCACAAGCCAATAAGCAATAATCCTGCACAGAAGTCAAGGAATTATATAGGAAGACCTCTTAAGTAGCTTGTAAGATCTGAGTTTCTAGATCCACATAACCACAAAATATATTTGAAAAATATACCTATAGATGACAAGAGAAACCCTCTATCTCCCAGCTCCCCGTATCTCGAAGTAGAAGGAAAACCTAGTGCTTACGAGTCTGTGGCTCTTGCCATGGAGTAGCCATACAAGCTGTGGACATTATAGTGAAGCTCCTGGTAAACCTCGGCGTCCATGCAGAGGGTTCCTGCAAAAAGCGAGCGGTCCAGAACTCCTGTGGGGAAACACCCATTGGTGAGCCACTTCCCTATCAACAAGCTCTAACAAAATAACCACCTAATCCAATTGCTTCCAGGTTCCTGTACCTTCTCCACCAATCTCTACCTGGCAAAACTCTTTTCAGATTTCAAATCCTATCCCAATGCCTCTTCCTAACTGGGACATACTCTAAGCCCCTCACTGAGGTAAATCATTAAAATCAATTTGCATTCTCTTGAGCTCACAAAGAATGGTGCTGAGTGGTGGCAATGGAGAAAAAAAACTCAGAGCAATGGGAAGTTAATCTGAGATAAAATATAAATAAAGTACACACACATAACTACAGATATTTAATCAAGGAGAATTGAATGTATGAAGAACAGATAGGAGGGCAGTGAAAAGGGAATATATACACTCTGAAATTACAAGCTTTCACACCTCAGTTACACTTTTTAAAAAATGAGATATTTGGGGGCTTTCATGAATGAGAACTTAGATCCTGCCTTTAGAAATCAGCATAGTCATTGTTTCCCTTTCTTATGCCTAAAATGGTCAACACTTCTGTCTTGTGGCCTGCAATCTCATTCTTCCTCTTCTACTTCCACCATTTCTTACTTCTTTTCAGTTGGGTCAAGTTTCTAAACTTCCTAAATCTCTGTTTTCCAGCTAATGAAAAGGATTCTACCAAGTCTCCTATCTACCTACTCCAGGACTTCTGTGAGGATCAAATGACATGAGGCACATGAAAATGCTTCACAAACATTTGGTTAAACTATAAAATGTTTGCACCTGGCTATAAAGCAAGTTGGGTTCCTGGGCTAAAGAAACTCAAAGGAGGCTAGTCACTAGGGAGAGGAAGCTGGGCGTTGCTAAGTGACATCATTACCCAGTGCCCACAGTGACCATTTCCAGGTTGGGTTGGGCCCTGGGCCACATTTTGCACCATGGGGTCTTGGCAGCATTTGCTGCAATTTGCTGAGATGTCACTCTGGGGTGGCAGCAGGGCCTGTGTCCCACTTGGGGGAAGCTGAGTGTTGGTTTGTCAGCGCCAGGTCCATGGCGTCATTTATTTTTAAATAGCCAGTGTGCATCATGGCAGCTCCTGCATTGAGCGTCTGCCCCCTGGTGGTCAGTGCATGTCATAGCTACCGGTCAGAGGGAAGGGCAGATACTTAGCCTTTTATATATATAGACTAGGGGCCCGGTGCACAAAAATTTGTGCACTCGGGGGGGGAGGG